AGTAATGATTTCTTGGGCAACTGCAGAGACAATATGTGTTGGTTCCTAATATTTTCTTTGGGATCTGTGACTCCCCGGGAATTTGAAGCCAGCTGTTTGCATTGCACTTATAGTGCTTAGGACCCAGGATTGCTGAATAGATTAGAAACTTGACTTTTGTCTAATTAAATGTATTTTATAGTGGAAAGTTTGATATGCACAGAGCTGGGGTTAAAAGCACGCAGGGCAGAGCAGGACTGCTTAGTTTGGTTCAGCTGAACGATGCAAACTGGCTTCCAGTGGAACTGGTGCTGTTGGCTGAATAACAGAGTAATCTGTGCTGTTTAGAGATAAATAATAATACATGGTACTCAATTCCACTGACAAATGAATCATTTAATGATGGAGATTATAGAAACATGCATGTTGAAAAAAAGCCTTGAGAAGTAAAGCTCCCTTCAGTCGATAACAGGACAGTTTTGTAAACCACTTAAAGCTGTGATAAAATCCTACTTGACTGGCCCACAAGCAGATGTGACAAGTTGAATTTATTTCCTCTCTTACCAGGAAGCTTTGCAGGAAACTCTTAACATATGGTGCTTTTCACTTCCATCTAGAGCTATAAATGTTATTGGAAAAGGATGTTCCCAGGAGCAGCAAGTTTCTGACGTTTCTGCCAAATGGACTCCAAATGATCCTTCTGTGGTTCTGAATTCCCCAAGTTCTTAGGAGCTGGCAGCCAAGAATCTCTGATCTAAACACAACTCACTAATTTAATTATTTTATTATAGATCTGTAGAAGGCTCTTGCAGACCAGTGACTTTGCATCTGTATTGGATCTAGCTAGGCAGGAAGCACGAGTTAGAGGAGTATAAATATTTTGTTTCTTAACTGCTTTTTGCTTGAAAACTTGGAAACCGTTTCACACACAAATCAGTCACACAAGTGTGAATGCAGGGGAACGGGAAAGGGGGATAAAAGTAACATCAGCTTGTATTTGGTTCGTATTTGGAATGTTTGTGTTTCCTAGGAAGACCAAGTAGCCTGTGCCTGGCAGGTACAAATAGGAATGAAAATCACAGCAAAACATTGTACAGCTGCACTCAAACTGTCCCCTTGCCCTCAGGATAAATTAAGTACTTTTGTGGAGAGTAAGTAATTGAATCTTTTTTATCTGGTTTATAATACACAAGTTCAGAAGAATCAGTAAAGTGTATGTTTTTGCTTAATGTGGTTCTGGAATATTTCACTTTAAGAAATTAAATGGCTAAATTTTGCAACTTTTCTTTAAGAACATTAGCAAAATACAAAAACAAAATAACATTTATTCTAAGATCATGAACTTACACTACTGGAGAGTTTCATTTGTAGGTTCAGATGGAGGATTGAAAGAGAAGGGAGAGGGTCATGTTTCAGGCAGGACCTGCTTTGGAATGGCATTAAAAAGAGGAGGAATATGAGCTGAGCTGGTTAATCAGGACACTGTGAACAAACCCCCCATTCCCAGAGCCTGGGTGTGCCTGGGGCAGTGTTTGGAGGGACCTACAGTGAGTCCTCAGGCTCTGGGGGTCACCAGGGGGTTTTTTTGTCAGTCAGCTCAGCTGTGAATAAAAATTTAGGCAGAGGCTGATGCTGACAGGAAGGTTTGGAGTTCCCTGGACACGGGCACTTTGCCATGAAAGCAGAAGGGTAAAGGTGTGTCTGTCTGACACAGATCCAGTGTTTGATGAAAGAAAATGCAGTTTGGGCTGGGGTGTGACAGTGGGATTTAGCTTTCCTCCACCCCCCAAAATGGGGGTTTGCACTGGATGAGCTGGGGGAAGGGGGTGACATCCAGAGAATTACTCTACCTCTGTGATCCATGAGCTTTTGTTTATGGGAGTGTGTAGGGGAGAAAAAATTAGCGGATCTAACTGTCAAAGAACTTCATTTTTCAAACAAAATAAGAAATAGAAGTCCTTGCACCAAAGAAAATGGTGATTTATCTGATATCACAAGGTTTGGGATGGGTCCAAGTATTATATTTCTGGTTCATGAAGGATGGAAAGCAAAAATGGTAATGAGCAGTGTTGCTGAAATTTCTGCTGGTGCTCTATAGACCAGGAAGAATTGGAAGTGCTGAAAGGCAGCATATAAAATAAGGCATGAACAGGAGTGATAAAACACTGAAATCAGGAATTGAAAGCTGAATGTGAGTGGTTAGAACAACATTTAAAAAAAAAACCTCCAAGGAATCATCATGAGAAAGGGGAATTCTACCCATGCACACTGGAAAAATCAGTACATTGTGTTGCTGAAGAGAAGAACTATCCTAATGGGGGAGAACTGGGTGAGAATCTAAGACCATATAAAAGTGGTAAAAAAATTCCCAGTCATGCTCTCACTGTGTGGCTAGTCAAGACTTTAAGAAGTTTGTTCTTCTCCTCCTTGGAAGTGCCAACCTCTTTGACAGTGATGGAAAAACACAGAGAAAACATCCACCCTTCCAGGATTGGCTTCTGGCAGGGCACTGCTAATTCAACTGTGGTACTTCATCTTGCCCTTCTGATTTGGAAAAGATCTCCATTGGTTATGTAAATTGGAAGTGAATATTCTGCAAGTAGGTTATGGCATCTCCCTTTGAAGTGCCTGAGCTGCAGAGGGAGAGTGAGCCCAGACCATGCTCGTGCCCAGCCTGCAGCATCCAATGGAAAAAGATTCATCCCAGCACTTCCTGAGTGCTGTGTGCCTGGACCCCACCCAGCAGCACTGGTTCTGGTTCTGGACCCCACCCAGCAGCACTGGTTCTGGTTCTGGACCCCACCCAGCAGCACTGGTTCTGGTTCTGGACCCCACCCAGCAGCACTGGTTCTTCCTCTGCATGCTGTGCTGAGGGGTAACTGAGTCCAGTTCAGTCCTCACTGCCCAAGCCAGACCCACATTGTTGTTATCTAAGTGTAGCACAGCTATAACAACATGAATTGTAATATATCACCTTAATTTGTACCTTGTATGGCTGGTGCCAGACTTGTGTACTGAGGCATGGACAGCACCTGATACCTCTCTGAACTAAAGATTATTCTGTCAATTCATAAATGCTACTGAACATTTGCTATCAGTTTTACAGCTTCAAAATATATGACATAATAATATTCCTTAACAATTTAACTGTCCTAAATATCTGTAGCTAAGCACTTGATTTCATCTCAGTAAGTTCCTGTGTGTTAAATAAACACTACCTCAAGAGAAAATGACTATTTTGTTTTCATTTTCATCAGTGCAACCTCACTGAATTCACTGCAGTGCATCTAAAAATACAATTTGGACAGTAATTTAGCAAATTTTCTTATGTAGTAGAGCTGTTAAATCTCAGTAAAAATATTTTAGTAATCAATTGCTATTTAATTAACATGCAATTGCTGTCCTAGTAAATCTAAATTAAATCCCCATTTTAGACACAATTCAAAGTGTGAATTAACATTCTCTATTGATAAGTAGTATTATAATAGGCTTTCAATCCTGAGTTGAAGAAAAAAATCGATTGTAACATTAAGTTTGATTCAGTATAAAATTAATCACAAATATCTAGTGCACTGTAAGTTCCTTCTTGCACCTTCTCTTGGTACACGTCTCTGTTCTTGGTCAGAACATCATGGTAAAGAGACAGATTGCATTTCGCCTTGCAAGCTTTCACCAGAAGGACTGCAGGACCTCCTCCTTCCCTTCCAAAGGCAGTCATGCTGGAGAAGAGATGAAATAACAGAGTGGACAGATTCATGTGACAGGGCCTGAACTTTGGGCTGCTGTGGGCAGATGTTCCAGGAGGACTCTCCCACCTCAGCCCTGCTGTGCAGGGAGCAAAGGACGTCTCAGGGGGTTGGGGAAGGAAGGAAGAGGCAAAGCTGTGAGGAAATGAAGTGCATTTGGGCAGACAGAAGAGAGATGTGTGAAAGGCACAACAATAATTAAGGACTGGGGAGTCTTTAGAGTCTTTGTAGAACCAAGGGCCAGGCTGGACGTGCCCAGAGGGAGGTGGAGGTTGGATGTGCAGTGGGAAGGCAGAGGCCTGGGTGTTACCCCACTGATGGGGCTCGTTGGCTCCAAGGAGCTCCCTGCCCATGAGGACTGTGCCCTTTCCATCCCCTGGGTTCCAGCCAAAGTCTGAGTGATGCTGAGGGGTCACGTATTTCAGCTGCAGCCAATCCCCTCTGCTAAATCCACCTGTCATGGTGATGTCTCAGCAGGACTGGCCTCGTTCCTCTGTCACTGATGGGAGCAAATCCACTCGAAGCAAATTGGAGCCAATTGGTGTTTCCTTGTGCAGTGGCAGGAGAATTAACTCATTGTCACTAAGGATATATCAGGACTTCCTATTAATGTCAGTTTTCAGTTTTATAACATTTTGTTAAAAGTTCCCTAGGGCTGTATTTGCTATACAGATTTTCAGAGAAGGAAGACATATTTTATATTAAGAGCTCATTTGGTTTATTGTTAGAGGATGCTTGTGTTCAGAACTTACATGGATATTACTTTCAACAAGTGAAGACATTGTCTCCTTTGTTGTAGCTACTAGTCTGCAAATGAACAATTCACCCAAATTTTCATTGAATAGTTTTATTGGGGTTTGGACCAAGTTAGCCAGAATTAGCACTTCTTTGCTAAGCTCCATACTTGGCAGTATAATCATGACTTAGATTTTATAATAGATGACTCTTTTAATATTACATGCTCTGTATTAATACCAAACTTCCATGTTTTGCTAGAAAAGGACTATATTTTGCCATCGGGTATGAACATGCAACTTTTGCTAATTTAAATAAAGGTCGAAAGGACAATTTCAAGCATTATAATAGATTTTCATTCGCCATTTTTCTCTTTATTATTCTAAGTGGATCTTTAAATGTCCTAGCTAGTTTTATAAGTTTGAAGATATATTACTTTGCAACAGTTCTACTTTGTTTTTTGGTTTTTATATCTATTTTCATTGCTGTCATTATTGCTATTTCTCACACTGTTTATTTACAGTGTCATTTTAGCTTAAGGCCAGTGGAGGTGTGATTGTTCTGCCTTAAGCACCATTTTTCCCTGTGGCATGAAGATGAACACAGTGAACAGTGGAAGCTGCAGATTGTTGTTGCTGACATTCTGTTTATCAACAATAGAAATAAGCTTATGGCTCCTCTCAAGGTGAGCTCTTCCAGATGTTTTTCTCCTCTCAGACTTGCTGATGTAAATCAGAGGTAATACTATTTATTCCAGTTAAATATGGTGTTTCTCAATGAGGAGACCCTCCTGGTGACTTGTACCATGTTGCTGGTCACACAGAAATATAATTGCCAGCAGTGCTCCCCTTTGCCTACAATTTTGCCATAGTTTTGGGGAGTTGGTGTTTCCCAGAGTCCTGCTGTTCCCAGGGAAGCAGGAACCCCAGCCAAGAGGGAAAACAAAGCACTGCTGTTTATTGTCTTTGCAGCTTTCTCTTGTGTGCCTTCAGAGGCAGTCCATAGGTCAGAATACCTTTGGTGTCAAAAAAGGAGTGGAATTGGAGCCTGTTTCATGTGTTTACACGTGGAAGGCCATCAGCTCAGTCCTATGGTTATACCACAAAGTTCTCCTTGTCTCCTGCTTGCAGCAAGAGTCCTCCAGCTTTCAGAGGCTGACTCTCCATTTTCTGTAGTTTCACCATGGTTTGATCACATTCTTTTGGAAATTGGAAGATCTGTTGAAGAGAATCCAAAATTGTGTTGCAGCTGATATGAAATTGGGAGGAGCAGCTGATGCAGCAGGAGATTGTGCTGTCATTTAGAGGGCCCTTAACAGCCTGGAGAAATGGAGCAATAGAAACCTCACAAAATCCAAAGAAGGTAACTGTGAGGTCCTGCAACTAGGAAGGAATTAATCCATGACCCAGTACAGGCTGGGTCTGACCAGCTGGCAGGAGCTTTGCAGCAAAGGCCTGGGGGTCCTGGTGGACACCAAGCTGACCATTAGCCATCAACATGCTCTTGTGGCAAAGGTTCACAGCCTCCTGGGCTGCACCAGCCAGCACCTTCCAGGATGGCAGGGCAGGTGATCCTTGCCCTCTGCTCAGTCTCAGTGGGATGTCTGGAGAGCTGTGTCCAGCTCTGCCTCCTCAGTACAGGGGAGATGTGGACACACTGGGGAGAGCTCAGCACAGGGCTGGGAAGGTGATTTGCAGTCTGGAATGTGTGCCATATGGGGAGAGCCTGACAGAGCTGGGGTTACTCAGCCTGGAGAACAGAAGGCCTGGGGGGTCTCATGGATGTGTACAAATATCTGGTGGGGGTCAGTGAAGACAAGGAAGCCCAGCTCTGCTCAGCAGTGCCTGGTGAAAACACAAGGAGCAATGGGCACAACCTTGCAAAGGCAAGGAGAACCTTCCTGGCTGTGAGGGCGATCAAACTCTGGAGCAGGTTGCCCAGAGGGATAATGGGAGACTCCATCCTTGAGCTTATTAAGAACTGGAGTGGATGTAGCCCTGAGCAACCAGTTCTGAGCAGCAGGGTTGGACAAGGTGATGTTCAGGTGCCTCTGTGGACCTCAGTGATTCTGTGAATCCCTTACCCACAGCCCTGCTTACCAGATCCTGATATACATTGTTGCTGCCACAAAGCCTCCCACCGTGAGAATGAATGGTCTCCAGGCAGTGCAGTGCTCAGCCCCCTGTCCTGGTCAGTCAGAGAGACACCTGTGTGGGATGGAGATGCTTGGAAACTGGAAAGGCATGTGTTGAATGTGATATAGTCTTCCTTCCTCACAGTTCTGCTGAAAGTTTTGTGGCTCTGCAGTTTTTGTTTGGTTACTTTTGCTTAACTCCATATAACTTGTGGGATGGTTTTGTTTGTTATTTTTTTCTATAAATGACTGTGATTCTGTAGCTTTCTTCAAAGCAGTTCATTTGCTAGCATCTGATTCACAATATAGAAGTTGTTTGTTAGTTTTGACCAGGCACAGAGACAATACACAAAATATTTCAATTTATTTAGCTGAATAAGCAGAATCCTGAAAAATAGATCTTTTATTTCCAGTGCAAATACTTGTCTTCATAATTTCAGGATTTGCTTTCCACGAGAGTTTGCAGATACATCTTTTAAATTCACAAACCCTGCGTGTCAGGCTGTGGGAGCTGTCTGTCCCCATGGGCTGCAGGGCACTGGTGACATAAATGGGCCCTGGGACTATCCCTGCCTTGGCTTCCCTGGCAGCTCCCACACCAACAGCTCAGCATTTCCTGCTCTGCCAGGCTCCAGGGGCACAAAAACATTAACAGTTCACTCACCTTTGGGAAATTTTCAAATTTTTCTGATGTCCTGGAGACTAGGAGCACGCATCCGGAAGGTCTGTGGTGTGATGATAATAATATGCTAAATCTAGGAAAGGAAAAAAATATTATGCTCTAATAAGGAAAAAAAAAAAGAAATTAACAGAAAGATTTAAGATTGAGCTTTAAAAGAAAGTATTTCTTGTGAAACGTTTTTCTTTAAAGGCCTGGTTGTGATTTCAGCAGATAAAATATTGTCATGCCAGTAAGTGTTTTCTTAGAATGATATCACATAATTTTTGAGAATTAAAAAAAGAAAAAAATAAACTTTTTCTCATCTGCAAGATTATATTCAAGAGAGATGTTTTGCAAATTCTACTGCAAGGACAGTATACATCAGAATTATACAAATGAATGTTTTCACAATCTCAGAGGCTTCACCACTGTAATTAAAAGGTGAATTTTTCACTTTTATTTTGTTATTCTTGTCTCCTGGGTCTGATTTATAACTTTTGTTATACAATTATATTCATTTATTTCTTTGTACCATGTTGTATGTTATTTCAAAAGTAACATCTAGGGTGTCCTTGCTTTAAAATGTAGATTTAGCCTCTCTGGATGAAACTTGGTAGAACATCTGTGTTTGAAAGTATGAAAAATTACACATTTTCTGAGTGAACCAGGCTGAGTGCTCACATTATACTGTCTCTAAGAGAAAATTAAAGTGCTGCTGATAGCTGAGGGACTGGATGGCTCAAGGGAATGGGAGTGTGACACAGCCTTTCATCTGATGAAAACCAGCATGAATTCAGCCCATGCTGATAATGACCAAAAGTCATTATCATTTGTTCAGTAATTTATTTAAAATGAGTTAGGGGTCTGGCTCACGTCTTGGTGGCAAAGAGGCCAAATTAGAACTGAGCAAATAATGAAGAAATGGCTCTGGAAAAATTATTTCATATCTTTAACTTAGTAGCTTGAACTTCTTTCTGTTTGTTACCATCTTAATATTTTAACAAACAGGTCTAGGAGGACGGATGTTTGTGAATTTAAAAGATGTATCTGCAAATTCTCAAGGAAAGCAAATCCTGAATTCATGAAGACAAGTATTTGCACTGGAAATAAAAGATCTATTTTTCAGGATTCTGCTTATTCAACTAAATAAATTGAAATATTTTGTGTATTGTCTCTATGCTTGGTCAAAAGTAACAAATAACTTCTATACTGTGAATCAGATGCTAGCAAATGAAGAAACAGAGAACTTAAGTAAAGCCATGGGGGTCAAAGCTGAACTGAGAATATTTGGGACTCCTCCTGCAGGCTCAGAGGAACAGGCCCATGGACAGGGAGCTCCCAGCTTCTCGGGGGCTGTGTTGGAACCTCACACCCCTCACTGGGTGATGGAGACAGAGACTCGGTGGGCAAGTTTGGCTCTTTAGCTTCGGGTTTGCTCTCCTCACTATTCCACAGAATGTCACTGCTAAACTTGTCACAGTTCTTTGTAGATACATTTCTGAAACGTTGCCAGCACTTACAGAGAGATTAATCTCTCCTTCCTCTCTGCAGGAGTTTTCTTGAGGAAAACATTTAACATATTTGCTCTTCTTTCAAGTAGATTTTGTCTTGCCCTATATAGAAATATCATGAGACATCAACAAAGGGTATCTATATGCTATATAACAAACACATATCAGTTTAATATTGGCTTGTGAACATCTGACACTTCAGAAGTAGCAGAACTGTGATTCAGTTCCTCAAAAGAAAATGATACAAGGTAGCAGGCCCTAATATATTCCTCTGTGAGGAAATACCTGCAGGCAAGGATAACACAGGTATTGTCACGTAAATCCTGCCACCTTTGCTGGGGGAGCTGGGTTTGCACACTCTCCTCAGGAGCTGGGGAGCGAAGAGGAAGCTGAAGTTTGATGCAACCCAGAAAATCCAGTGGGTTTTTGCTTTAACCTTTCATTTCTCCTGCACATCTTCATGGCACTCTGGAAGTCACCTTCCTCACCAACAGTGTCTGTCTCTGGCCAGCCTGGTTGCCAGAAGCCCCCTGGTGTCTAATGCAGAGCAGAGACTGGCCTGGGGCCAGGCCTGTGCAGCACACACGTGGTGTCACAGCCTCTCCGAGCTGGCTGGGACTGCTTCTGTGTGAGGACAGCACATGGAGCAAGGGCCTCGTGGGATATGAGGGCAAGCAGCTGATGCTGTAGGATGTTAACAGTGTTTTAAAGCTAGAATCACAAGCTCCTGAGCTACTTTGGTCCCACAAAACCCATAGGGAAGCTTCTGTGAGGGTTTTGGGTCGGATGGGATGGAAGAACCTGAAAATTATGAAAATCTAGAGGTCAGAATTACATCTGATGAATGTCATGCCAGATGAATATCTAAAAAATATATCTACTTACTCTTTCCCTACTTTGTACGTTACTTTTGTACTGAACTTGGCTGCAGTGTCATTATGGAGAGAAGTATGTCTTATATCTTTTGAAAAATGAGGCTGATGATGAAACATAAAGCCTTCTGTTGTTTACAGCAACAATTATTGGTAATGACTTTTCAGAATCCTTTTAGGATACTTTGGCTGTGGGTTGAAGTAATAACTGAGGGGGAAAATATCAGAGCATTCAGTCAGACGGGGTATAATATTTTTTCTCATTGAATTTAAATGGGAAATAAAAGAGATCAAGCATTTCTGGTAAGGTTTTTACTCCACGGAGTCACTGCTGTAACTTCATTGGCTTCATCAAGCATCCTGTATCTGCCATATTTGCCTACTTACCTGTGAAGTCAATCAGACAGAAAGGGTGGGCTGCTAATTAAAAAAAAAAAAGGTGTTTTAAACCTCCTTTAAGAAAATGAAAATCGGAAATATGTTATGGACTAATCTCACTTTGTAGCACCATAATTTTCAGTTTTAACTTCAGATTTTCCAGTTGCTTTCAAAATACGTGAAAAAAGTCAGTTTGTAATTTTTCCAGTGTTTCTTTCATAGTTAAAACTATTGAGTTGTATGACAGTGTACACTGAATATAGGAAGGGAGATTATCTCTTCTTTAGTATCTAATTGTTTTATTATTACTATTCTTTTCTTGTCTACAAATGCAGAAAATTTTAGGATTTGTTTTAAGTAAACGACATTATTTAAATTCATAAATTTGCTTAAGCCTCAGTGGGTTACTCTGACTTGTAAGGCTATTACTTTCCCAGTTGCAAGCAATAATGATGCTGCAAAGATATTCCATTGGAGAAAATATTTAAATAAACGCTCTTCATCCAAAAATGAGATGCAGCATATTTACATTTTTATTTGATGAAGCCTGTTCCTGCTATCTTTGTTCTTAATTTGGTCTCTAAAGAATTAGTAGTAAGAGGAAAAATAGTCTGTAAATATGTATGAAATCAAATTTAGAGGGTAGGCTAAAAGGTATTGACTGCCAGCAGTGCTGAACAGCAGGAGGCAAAATTTCCTCCATAGTTTTCTTCTTGGCTGGAAACACATTGCCTTCCATCTAGATTATTTAATCCTCCAAATGCACATCAAAGCTTCTCATCGGGTGGTGTGTGTCTTTACAGGCAGCTGAATGTCAAAGATCTAGCTTAAAGATTTTTTGAGAAATGTAAAACATAATAGATCCCAGATAATAACCCAGCAGTTATTAGGAGTTACAGGAGCTCCTGGGCGAGTCCTTCCAGCCAAGTATTGGTGCCACAGGTTGGAGTTAATCTTTGGGGCAAAAGGAGGAACAAATCTTCTACGTGAGGATTTGTGACATCCTTCCAAGAGATGGAAATAAAGTGATCGAGTGATGTTACTGGACTAATGTTAGCTTGTTAACAATTCCCATCTCTCTTTACACTTGTGCCTTGCCAGAACAATGGGCTGTGAGTTATCTCACTCCTCCAGCCCAATTAGACACTGGAAAAATGGATGCAAAATATGCATGAAACATTTTCTGTTTGAATATTCCTGACAGGATGCAGCTTCAGCACTGTCCCTCTGATTTAATTCAGTCTTTGGCAAGAGCTTATTCCTTCTAAGGATTGCATCAGTTCTCATGAATGATTATCTCATTCTTAGGGAGTATCTTAAAAACCTTTTTAACAATTTTGGTTTCTGTTTCTGAGCTTGAATTTTGCTCTGACATGGGTGTATAGAATAGCCAGGCGTTGGTGAGGAGTCCCACAAGGAGACTTTGCAGGAACGTGGAGCCTAAGAGTGTTTTGCATAAAAATAAAATGAAAAGGGGCAGAAATAAAAAAGGAATGAGGAATAAAAAATCCACCCCTCTTAATTCTGCAGTGTAGATTTCCCGTTCTTCCTTTTTGCATTAAACTTTCCTTCATTTTTATTTGTTTAAGTACCACTGATACAGTATTTCCTATAGATGGCTCAGCTGTGACACAGAAGCAAGGCTGATTACTCAGGGGTTTCATTTCACCGCTGTTTAAGACAGCCTTATTTTTTAAATCCTGAGTAGTCTTGTTCCCATCTCTATCCATGACCTTCCCTTTCTTTTTTCTTCTGTTATCCTCTCCTTGTAGTACCTTTCCTTTGAAGCAGCCTTCTCTCTGGTGGTGTGAAGCTCTGGCTGTGCTGCCCTCTGGGCTGGCTGCAGAGGAGCCTGGCTGTGTGCTGGGGCTCAGGGCTTGGGCAGCCTTGGCAATCTGTGCCCAGGGGGTGATGCTGTCAAGGGGGGGCTTTACTTCTGCCTTTGCTTCTCCCTTGGTAGGCAAAGGAACCAGCATTTGCTGTGCTTTCTGAGTGCAGAGCAGCCAAACATCACCCTCAGTGCCCAGCCCTGGACTGGGATGTGAGAGATGCTCAGCAGAGTCACAGAATGATTCAGTGCAATGTGTGGCCTTTCACTTCTCATTGAAAACTGGTCTGATGAGATGCAAAGCCACAAGTTCTGTTCAGTTCACTGGCTGATTTAAGGGCTCCTTGTGTCTGGAGAGGTGCTCAGGGCTGCTCAGGATGAGACTGTAGCAGGGACTTTACTTTGTTGTCAGACCAGTGCAGAAGTGCACAAAATCAGCAGCACTGCCCAGTGAACTCAACAGTCAGCAAACAGTAATCCATCTTGCAAGTAATCCTACACTAATTATTTACAATAAGAAGAAGATTTAACATCAAAGAAATGCATCACAGTAGGCATTATGTAATTAACTAAAGATGTATTGCATCCAAGCAAGGGGGAATGTGCATTTATCACCTTGAAGCATTACTTTAATTTTTTCAATATTCTTTTAATATTTTTAGTGGTTTCAACATATTATTTTTTATTATTATTAATTGCTCATTTGACATAAAACCACCATAATACCATCTTTTTTTCCATTTTTAAATGATTTCAGGAAACTCAGCAAAATTTCCAAGAACAAGTATAAATGACCGTAAATGTAATGCTTCTTATATTCACAATCTCTGTTTTTCAGGCTAAGTGTGATTGCTTAATCCTTAAAGTGATTTGTTTAGAAAAGCCTCTTTTTATCCTGTTCACTAAGTGATATCACTAAATACAGAATAAATATAGAGCTTGTAGAAGTTCATGGAAGATTTTTTTGGTGAAAAAATAGCTACAAAATTAAAATTAAAAATCTTTAAAACACAGTAGAAAGGAAGGGGGTTTTCTACTAAAAAATAAATTGATGTTGATTTCAATGGGCAAATGCAACCCCTGAATCTTTTCTGTGGCATCCTCTGTGAACAGATTTTATAACAATTCTGTATATTCTGAAGACAGAAACTTGATGTCAGGGCCTTGTCATCTCTGGTCAGCAGAGTAGTTTGTCAGGAGGGTTTTCAGCTATAAAAGCATCAGTAACTCATCAGAACATTTGTTGGGCTTTTCTGACAAAGGGAGCAATTGTCTGTCAAGAAGAATGTGAGTTTTCCTTGCCTTGCCCAGGCTCAGGTCCCGCAGTTCCCGGGCTGTTCCCCTCCTTTGGAAGCAGGACTGTTCTCCACACTCCAGTGCTGGCAGCACAGAGCAGCAGGACCTGCAGGGTCCTTCCCGGGGGTGACACCAGGGGAGTGACACCAGTAATGAATGTCTCACACAGACATCACACCCAGGGGGACAGAAGGAAACTTCTAAAATAACAGTTCACAAATGGTTCCTGCTTTGAAATCGAGCTTTTTAAGTCATGAGATGCCGATGGGTTGGGAAGCCCTACGGAGAGTGAGGATTAACCCCTGGGGACCCAGCAGATCATAACTGTGCATGGAAACAAACAATCCAGCTGCTTAAGGGTTATAGAAATTTAAATGCAAATAGCACTTGGTAATAATACCCGAGGGACTGATGTTGTAGGCAATTTCTGGAGGATGCAGCATTGTAAACTTAGTTTTTGGTGCTGGTTTCCTTAGAAACTGGAACAAGGTATTATTCAGGACACAAAATAATATCCTGTTTCAGTGGCTGAGGATCTTGAAGTAAAAAGTAATTGATTTTGCATGAGACACTGGATTTTCATGTGCTCTTTCTAGGAACTGTTATGGCACATGTCTGTATGTTGGAATTGTTTCCAATCTGCTGGTTTAGTTCTAGTGATCTCACTGTGTAAGTGCTGAAACTTGAAAACTGTTTAAAATTAACTTTTAAACCATTCAGGGGGTCAGTTCACTCATAGCGCTCCTGAGTTTTAAATACTTCAATAATAATCTAATCTTTCCCCAAACATGCCCACTGTTCTGCTTCTTATCAGGAAATAAATCTCCACGTGTATCCTTGTCATGAAACACCACATTTGATGTGTTTAGCAAGTAAATGTGTATAAAGTGCATCATAGACTTGTGAATAATCCTTTTTGGAATATGGGATAAACACAGATCAAGAGCTAGGCAGAACTGTAAATAGTTTTGCCTACAGGGAGGCATTGAGGTTATTTCCAGATTTTTTCCATGCAGTTGCAGGGTACCTGAATGAAGCATTTCTTCAGACTGTTTGGAAGAGTTGTATTACAGCTGGGCAGTGTTGCTCTCATTTGTGCACCTGTTTGAACAGGTAAGTGCACATATAAGAACATTTAGAACATGTTCAGATTTGAATGAACAACTCAAACGGGCATTGGAAACCGGTTCCTTAAAGGGGGAACAGTGGCTTGCTGAAAATCGAGTCCATGGTAGCCTGGACTGGGCACCTGGAAAATAAACTGAGGGTTTTTTGTAAATAGTGGTCTGGTTTCTAAAACTAGTTTTATGGAATACTAGATACTCTTTCTCCAACTTCAGGTTTGAAAAATGTTCTATTAGTACCTTATGCATTTATTGTATAATTTCAAAATCTTAGAGGTATTGCTAGTGAGCATACGTTGCTTCCTAGTCAAATTTCTAAAGAGTTATTTGTTAAAAGACCGTTCTTAATTTTTTATTTTCTTAAAATATGTGATACATTTTTGTTTTGTCTGTTCTCTGTAAAACAAATATGAGACAGTTATTGATGGCAAAATGAAATTCCATTCTTCATATAAGCCTTTTTATCATTGTGTTTTTGTGAAAATCATTATTTTGTGGATGTTAAAAATACATGAAAGGTTATTCATAACCAATTTTGCCAAAAAAAAGGATTTTGTAAAAGGGATTTCCTCAAATTTTCTTTCAATATACAACAGTTTACCATATATTTATGTGAACACATTTTCATGTCAGCTTGGAACGTTTATCTTTCCCTTCTCTCCCTCCAAGCATATGTCACTTTTATCCAAGAAATACTCCTTTTTTTTTAAGTTCCAAATGCTCTCTGCACCCAGAAGTTCATTGTCCAACAGTTTTCCTACAAGGACATTGCAGAAGAATCAATAAGGTACAAATATGCTATTATACATTCAGGTGCTGTTCAGGTATTAATGTTATGGCAAAGAAAAGTTGGAGCTTTCATGAATTTAAATATTTTTCATATAAACTATGTAAATATAATGATTAACAATCAGCTACATTCACTATTCAAGACATGCAATGTAGCATTTTTCTAATTACACTTACCAGTGTGGGAGGATATGACTGCAGAGGAAGATTAAACTATTTGTATTTATTCAGTGTTGCTTTATAACATTAACCAGGAAACTCACTTTTGCAGTGTTGAATGCAGGAATCTGGAATAACCTGAAGAATTTCACTGGGGTGGGAGCAGCCTGAGCCAGGCTTGGGCAGGGGTGGCAGGCTCAGCTCATTCTGCATCACAGTCATTTCAGCTGCCTCTCTCATCTGTGATCTCACTGTTGATAGTGTGATTCAAAACACAGGCGAAATTACTGCTTAATATTATGGCTTTGTCTAAAGCTCTTCAAGTAAACCAAACAAACAGAAAAAGCCCACCTGGCAGGCAGGCTCCTGTTTGCAGGTATTCATGTTTTATTAAAATAAACACGTAGTTTGCAAGCAGTGGAACTAATGAAACCTGGTGTGCTGTAGCTCTGTGTCTAGTGATGGCATTCTGTGCAGGTTTATAAAGCACAACTCAAACTGAAGATTTCCCTGAAATTAGGACATGGATAATGTCCCTTCTGTCCCACGGAATCTCTGGTGCCTGTGGAAAGATGAGGTCATATTTCAGTCTTTCCCAGAGCAGACGTCCTAATTGTGGGGTTTTTTTCCTATTTCTTTTAACAGCCTATTCACCAACATTTAAAGAAGCTAAGGATCTATACAGATGCATCAGATATTGGGAAAATTGGAAAAAAATGGGCAACTTACGGGGGACAGGAAAAATATGTGAACAGACTCCTTCACCCTGCCTCTGTCTCCTGGTCCACAGCAAAAGACACCGTGGAGTCTGGGTTCCTCAGGACAGGAAGGATATGGACCTGATGGATGGGTCCTGAGGAGGCCAAAAAGAAAATTAAAGGGATGCAGCACCTCTGCTATGAGGAAAAGGCTGAGAGGGTTGGGGTTGTTCTGCCAGGAGAAGAGAAGGCTCCAGGGGGGATGTTGAAACTCAAAGAGCATTGATTTGGATCAGACAGAAGGTTGGAGGTTTCAGAATGAGGGTGTTAAACACTGGAAGGGGTTTCCCACAGAGGCAGGGACACCCCACCCCTGCAAACATTCCAGGTCTGGCTGGCTGGGGCTCTGAGGGGGAACAGATCTGGTTGAAGATATCCCTGCTCAGAGCAGGGGGGTTGGACAGGGTGACCTTTGGGTGTCCCTCCCAACCTAAACTGTGCTGGGATCTGTGCTCCTGAGGCAAGGCTGCAGTCCCAGTGAGGCTGCAGTCCCAGTGAGGCTGCAGAGTCCCACTTTGCCTGCAGGGATGACCCGAGGAAGGGGTACCAGCTCCCTGTAGGGGCCCCTCCCAGCAGTGCCAGAGCTGGGATTGTCCCCCTGTGGTTTTATTTTAATGGCCACAGAGATACTGGGGCTGTACTTGCTGCCAGCTCATTCTGAGGGTTGCTCCACCTTGTCATCCCTGTCATTCCATCCTCTGATGTCAGAGGTGTCAGTCTGGCCCTGGTTGTCTCCACGCTGTTCTCAGGAAAGCTTGGAGAAATCTGGTGCTTAAGAATCATTATGGTCTTGAGAAGCTTTGTGAAACTGTTTTGTTAGATTCAGATTTAGATGGTTTAGTTTTTCAAAAGATAAATGCTGGAATGTGGATGTAGTTGTGTAATGGTTCACCTTCACGGGACAAATTACATGTGGTTTCTGCCTGTGGTAGAAAAGGAAAAGGAATTCTTCAGTGTATTACTTTGTTAATTTGTAGTGTATATGCACAAATCAACAAGGATGTTTTAGTTCAAATACCCTGATGAACTGTTAGTGTAGTCAGACTGTGTTAAAATAATTCCAAAATTAATGTTTGACGATGTTGACACTTTGGTGATGCTGTGATGTTTACATCACAGCAAACATGACTTTAATCAACTGAGTGCAGTGCTTTGAGAATATCATATTGAATAGGTGGTTTTAAAGGCTAAAGAGTGAGCCCTGGGATCCCCAGTACTGGGCATTGTTTGTTAACTGGCCACACTGAGTGGGGGGAGATGGTTCCAGTAGGACTTGGTGAGAGTGCCTATAATATAATAATCAAGACTAATAAATATTTATCTAGTTGTTTATTCTAGTCCCTGATATTTACTATACATAGAAACGTAATTTATGTAAAAACTGAAAACAGATTGTATAAGTCTTTCTAGAAGGTCAGTTAATAACAAAGTGCTTTACTACCTGGGCCTTGCTTGGCAGTCAAACACAGATTAAAATGGGAGAAAAAAAATGTGATGGAGACAGAAGATGAGGGAAAAAATGAGTGTGTTAAGTATTTGTACCCATCTATCTGCTGAAGTTCCACTTTTGCTGTTTAAGAGGAAGTGGTTGGTTGGTTCTTTGATTTTTAATTTTTTTAAAGCTTTTTTAACTTCTGCTAAAAAAGCTGCCAATGCTTCATTCTGCATTATTTGTTTGGAGTTTGACTTTATTCTGAAAGCAGTCTCAGTGTTTTTAGCACTACAAATTCACCAAAATGGATTCTCAGAGACATTAGTGCAAAAATAAAGAAGGAAGGAAAACAAAGCCAGAAAAAGAATACTACTTGGAAATTATGTAAAACCAATATAGCAAGACCATCAGAGTGCTTTAAAGTCTACAGAAATGTAAAAGGCAAAGTATTATGTTTGTGTAGTTTAGCATATTGATCTCTAGAAGAAGGACTGAACTTGCAATCATTACATGCAGAACAGATTTCTGCATATTTGAACATTCCTGTTCCCTTGTGATTTACAGTCTTATTCTTTTGCATCTTTTCTTGCATTTAGAGAGTAAGTTTTTTAAGCTGTGGACTTTCTAAACTTAAAATACCAGAGTCCTTTATAAAAGTGTGTATGGTGAGATTTTCCTGTAGTTCCTAAATGCTTCACAGAAGTGTTAATGAGCTGATGCTGCCCGTTATCCTGCTTGCTAATGAGGCCCCATCAGAGGGTAACACCAACAGAAATGCTTCCACCCCACAGTGGTGAGATCAGCTCCTGTCCAGTGCTCGTGTTTGTGTTGGGGTGTGTGCTCCTGGATATCTTACACTCACTGTGTCTTGGACTCTGGTCATTCAGAGAGCCACCTGCCATCAAGGTGCCATTTTGCTCATAATGTTTAGGTAGATAAAGCCTTAAACCCAGAGAGTGGTCTGAAAACTTCGTGCAGTGTCCAAAGGGACACAAATTTTATTGCTCTCTACATGGAAACTTTCAGGAGTGTACATACTTGAAAAGAATAATGTACCTGCACCTGCAGATGATACAAGACATGGGTTGCTGGTAACAGCCCATCTTGCATTTTCCCTGTTTCCTTATTTCCTGCACTAGCAAGTGCTGTGGATCTCAGAAGGTGTAGGCATGGAAATTTTTAATTACTAAATTGGTTTCTAGTCAGCTGCTCTAAATTGCACGGGGATGTGGAAAAGGGAGAGTTATATGTGGGACTATATTGCATTGAAAATAAAGGGATTTAGGAACAGCTGCTGAAAGAAGAATCCTGGTAATCAGAAAAGTATTAAATTGTGAGAGTAGTACAGGGTAATGTCATTTTCTGGGATGGTGGAATTTATTGTGATTCACACGTTTCTAGTCATGATAGATGGGAGCAGAGAATCCTCAAAAGGTTTGTGTCTGTCTTTCCTAGAGAAGGTGTTTTTAGACATGAATTATAGTGCATCATCTGGCTTTGGTAAATAATCTAATGGTGTTTTTAAAAGCAAGTCACAGTAGACCCTGTGTTTCCACATAAAATTGTGTATAAAAAAATTATATGAGATAGGTTTTATTTGGTTTTGTTTGTTTGATTTTTTTTTTTTAAACTATGGCGTAGAGGTCAAGTTGTCTTTGACCATGAAGAGAAGTTTAAGTTTGTTTTTACTTGTTAATTCAGACTTCTTGTAGGGCACATGCTGGAAAACTCATGTATCAAAGCCTTAACTGTGGCTTTAGACATTTTGTGTTCATTAATTTTGATAAGTCATAATTTGGACTGGGTAGAAGAGGGCCAGGGGAATTATCTTTTTTTTTTCCTTGTATATTCCGCTTTACTTGGAATCATGTTATGCAAGGGAAAAAACCAACCAAACAGAACCTGCCTTGTGACGTGTCCTCACAGCTGCTTCTGCAGCTCATAAACACTGCTCAGCATTTCAGCACTCAAAGCTGGACGAAAATATCACAAGTGGAATTAATCTCCTCTGGCCTAAGCGAGTTTTAATTCCATGCTTATGCCAAGTCACAGTGAGAGGAGCCCATCTAGGCCCAGAGCATCAGTTCTTTACTTCCATTGTGTATCATTGTGTGGATTTCTGGCAGTTTGTGAAGGAAAAGCCTGATTCTGCATCTTTATCTGAAGTTTCAAACTGCTACAGGCTGAACCATCCTGCCAAAGACATTTCTTTTCTCTGTCTTTCCAGTCTGGTGAACTACCTCTTTATTTTTTTATATTTTTTCTGTGAGACTGGGATCCTGTGCAGATGAATTGCAGGAGGTTTACTTGATGAAAAGTTACCACAAGTAATTTTCCCAGTCATTAGGGTGTAGGATGGTGGGCTTTGCAGGAGCAGTGTGTGCCAGGCCCGTGTGTGTCACCTGCACCTTCCTCTGCTGAGCTTTCCTCCTCCTTGATCGGGGTGTTCATGCATTTGTTGCTGCATATCCTGAGTCCTTCCCAGGCTCTCAGTCACTCACCAGTGTAACTCTGCTGCCCAGGCTGGCTGACCGTGCAAACACACCCTTGTGACCCTCAAAATCATCCTTAGCCTTATCCTAGAGCCACCTACTTCAGAAGACTGTTCTTCCCAGTGTCACTGCATTTGCTTGGTGTCAGTCCTTGCTT